GAGGCCAAAATAGACCATGCACACTGAGTCGTTTATGACCTGAAGATGATATGATTATCCGTGTCTCCAGCTAATATCCAGAGGGATGACAATTAAATATCACCGAGTATTTCTCATTCACATCAGTTAGATGAAGATATCAGAAGCCACAATTTACACTAGAGTTTCTGAATGCCTGCCCAGGATGTAGATGAAGCATGGCCTATTATCCTGAGTTAGTTTCCCTTCCTCTCTGTCTAAGTACCCACATCCTTTAGCTTTTCCTATAGCTGCAAAAAAAAATTTCTTTAAGGAGCTGTCTACATTGGATACATGAAAAGAATACAATGCAGTTTCAGTAAATCCCTTGTCTTTCTTTAGGGCAACAGTTGATATTCAGAGTGGCTTCTGAATAATTTAATGAACTATAGTTTTGTGTTAGAAAACAAATCAAACTGTAAAATGTGCAGAGGTTTTAGAATAAATAAAGTCATGTTTCATCATATTTGAAATAATATTACTGCAAGGCAACATATATAACAAATATTTTCTCTTCATTTTGATTAGAACAGAAAGTATATTCTGAACTGTTATTTTGAAGCTTGAATCTGGATCAACTTACCATTTTAGTTTTTTTTTTTTTCTTTTAAATATATTTTTATTTCACCAAAGCAGCAGTGAAAGCTCATATTTAAGTTTAATACAGAGTTCATTTTACACACAAGTTTCATGATAGAACTCATTTTATCAGATCCTGCACTCAACACGAAGCATCAATAGCAGAGGGTCACGTGGCACCTTTCAGCTGTCACACCAGTGTCTTTCTCAGTGCTGTATGCAGTGGCTCAGGTTCTTTATCTATACGGAAACTCATTTAGTTTGATCTGAGAGCTATTTCCATATGCCTTCAGTACACAAAAAGCGCTATCAAAAGACAATTCTTTGCTTTGTAGATAGGAATATCAGCAAGATTTTCTGTGGCAGTGGAGATCGAGACAAATGATGATAATAGATTTAAGGAGAACCAGTCATAATTCTAACAAAAGGCAAAATAGATGAGTTTAAAATGATAAATCAAAGAAGTTAAGCTCAGGCTTAGTTAAAAATGGGACTTCATTCCCAGTCTTTATATTTCTTAGGGAATGGAAAGCCTTAAAAATACTTTGGTACTGGATTCATAAGAGTCTTACTTTGATTTAATGAATATAATTTTGCCTGTGGAAGAAAGTCATGTGGTAAAAGGAGATAGGAATATTGTTGAATTAGCTGGTTATTAAGAACTATTGTAGGAATAAAGGCAGAGGTTCAGGGAGTCAGAAGTAACGATGACCTTTATGACTTCATTAAGGCCTATTGATGCCTTTTAAAATTATGAATTATATAAAATAGTTGAGACCTAAAAGTATAGATACTGAAAATGTAAAAATTAAAGCAAAGTAAGAACATGAACAGCATAGAAACATTGTAGAAGTAGGCTAACTAGAGCCTGAAATCTAAGAAGCCAGTTACATAGTGATCAATTATTCTACTTAAAAAAATTAACTTAGAATAACAAAATTTCTGGACTCTTCTTGGGAATAATTTCTCCTTGAAGTTTGAACCTACCTACCCTACAGTTGCTATATTCAATTGAATTTTTTTTTCTTTTTGTTCTTACTTAAACTACTGCTTTTGTTATTTCTGTATTTATGTTTTTGCCATAGATTCTCTGCTCATTGTCTCATCTGTTCTTGCAAAGAGTAAACTCTCTGAATAATTTACTTTCAAACATATAGTTAATTTCTTTACATTATGGCATCACTGAGACATTTTATTTCAAAGAAATAGTTGAAGATAGGTTTTAAATATACAGGCAAAAAATGATAAAGTGGCTCTCAGAAGTAATAAAGAAAATAAAAACTGGCCAGCTTTTATTAAACATCTTCGAAAAAGGAGGTATACTAACCTGTTACAGTGTTTCTTTCCTATGTTGCTAAAAGTTCTTAATTAGTTACTGAATTCAAGTGTAATCATTTTTAACTTACAATTATTACAGTTGCAAGTCTTTGGAAATGCAGATTCTCACATGAAATCATAGCATAACAATCTGTGAGAATGAATAATAGTAATTTATTGAAATGATTAAAATTCAGCTAAAGAAGTGACCCTAGTAAATTAATTGCAATTTTACACATGTATATGAATCACATGGATCCAGTTATTAATAAAGGCTTCAGTAATGCCACATATATTAAAGAAATGGCAACTGTGGTTATGAACAAAGGTGGTTCTTTCTTTAATGGCATTTCAATAAATGCTATTGAAATATATTCCCATTTCAAAATTTGATTGGGAAGATCTTTCAGGAATAAGCATATTTTGTATATGGGTCTACTACTTTTCATCATTTATTTTAATACTAGTTGTTTTCTACATACTTTCAATAGTGATGAAACCTAAGCTTTAATGATGATCTTTATAAATAATAAATTCAAGTAACATTTTACACTAAAATAATCTTTTGCTAAATTTTGAACCAAGAACTAAAATCAAAATTCTTTAAAATTTATAATGATATTTATTGTGCTTTTGCAAAAAAATTGGAATAAATATTTTCTTTCAATAAAGTGTCCAATAGAGAGTTTGTTACTGTGTGCTTTTTGTAATACAATCGGCTGTCTAAAATAGTTATAACACAAAAGATAGTGATTCTTTTAAAAAACATTAAATTTCCTTTGATTACAAAACAAGACCAACCATATCTAATTTGATTTTCAATTCTGCCACTTTCAACCACATATATATAAATTAATTCCTCCTCCTAAAAACTCAACTGTTTACTTTTAAAAGGAGAAGTGAAATAAGTGCAAAGCACTAATGGAATATTTGGCTTAGTAAGTGCCAAATATTGCAACTATTAACATTAGTTTAAATATCTATTAGTTAAATGAGATAACTTCACATATATATATATATATATATATATATATATATATATATATATACACATACCTATTAAGTATGATATATTTTAGGGTGTAATAAATGACATCTAAAATGTATACTGTAAAAGATATTGGAATTTACAGAAAAAAATGCAAAAAAAAGAACAATCTCAGATCTCATTAACTAGTAACCAAAAAAAAATATTTCATTTATTTTGTTGTATTTTATTAAATTTATGGGGGTTTGCATCATGTGACCTTAAGATGCAAACTTATTTTAAAAACAAAAAGAATTTTTACTTAATCAGAAGTATTAATAAATTATAAAATAAACAATATTTATGTAAGATCTTACTTAGTGATGTGTGTGTGTGTGTGTGTGTGTGTGTGTTACCTCACTCTAATGGCGATTGTTGAAAAGCAACATTTGTTTTTATTAAGATTTACAAATTTTAAAAAATATGAGTTTAAAATTCCATTCATGATGGTCATATTAATTTTCCAAATGGAAAGCGCACAAAGAAACCATAAGTAAGAAATAAATTTTGGTGTTTTCTATTTTGATGGGAGGCGGGACCCGCAGCACCATGATAAAGTCTCTGAAAAAGTGACTTTTGAACTGCACCTGAAAGTTGAAAAGGATTCTTTCACAAAGAATTTCAGGACTTACAGAAAGCAGAGACCTTAGGTGCAAAAAAACTATAATTTCCTGAGAATAAAATGTATAGGAAAATGAAACTGTTCAGTATAGAGTTTAAGACACAGGATACAGCCAGCTCGTGTTGGAACTCGGCAGAAATGAAAGATGTGTGGGTTTTATTCCAGGGGCGATACAAATCCATCAAACAATTTTAAGGGGGAAGTAAAATGTTGATTTGTGCTCTAAAATGTCCAATCCTGTGAGCAGTGAATTATAAAAAGGGTCAAGATAGTGAACCTAGAAAGAAAGATCTTGCTTTTAAATCCTACTCTGTTGTTTATCAGCAAGAGATCTTTCATGCTTAAACTTTTCCTTAAAAATGAACTAGTAACAGTGCTTGTCATATAGAGTTCAAATACTAATTAGACCACATCTGTTAAATGCTAAGCATAGTTTCTAACACATTGTAAGCAATAAATAATAACTATTGCTGTTATTATTAATCACAAAAGTGACAATGTCAATTAAGAAATGTGCTATATAAATATGACATTTGAAAGAAGGTGATTGACATTCTGATTATCTTAAAACATTGCAACGCATTACACTATTTCCAAGTAAACCAAAGCTACCGTAGCTTTTATTTTCTGTAAGCTACTGTCCCTCTCATCTTTGTTTTCCCCACCTCCCTTTTTTTTTTTTTTTTTTTTTTTTTTTTTTTTTTTATTATTATAGGAGGAAGGATTGGGATGGAGATGAGAAGTAACAAGAAAGATTGTTAAGGAAAATGGAAAAGTTAGACCCGAACTCTAAAAATTCACTTCTTTTGATAACTTTGCAGTTACTCGAAAAGCAGTCTAGTTTGTAGTCTATTATGAATAATTTGGTAGCATAAATTAATTATAACTTCTTTATAATACAGTTTTACATTTGTCCAATACTTACTCAGTCCTGAAACCTGAAGGAATAATATATAGTTATTCACAGAACAAAAAGTTCTGTTTTACTTCAGGTGTCCTTTCTCCTCTTCTGCAGACAAATGCCTTAAGGAAAAATACCATTTTGTCATATGCATTTGAACTACAATGTAGTTCAAACACATGAGCATCATTCATTTATCTATTTAATAGAAAATGTAATTTAATGCATATCTGAATGATAGAACTTTCAAGTTCTGAAGATTCAAAAATAAAAATGATAATACCTTTGAAATGGAAAACCTGACACATGTGAATTGGATTAACATCTGCTGCATGTCTTGTGGCTTTGTAAAACTGGTACCAGTTAAATGTCAGTGATTATTGTTGTATGGTCATTAATGTATGAAGGTCCTTCTTGAAGCAAACATCATCTTTCCCCTCTCTCTTGCTCTCTTTCTCTCTCTCTCTCTCTCTCTCTCTCTCTCTCTCTCTCTCTCTCTCTCTGCCTCTCTCTTTCTTTCTCTCTCTGTTCTTCAGCCCAGTCATAATGTTATAAGAAGAGGCTCAGAAAGGAGCTCAGCAAGTAGCCACCACCAGCATGAGGAGCCCCCAAATTGAAACTGGTAAGTGGAAAAATGAGATGCAGTTTATTTTATTGATTGTGCTTCCTATGCAAAAATCATCATGGTCCACACATTTAATTGTATAAGTGTGTCTAAAATCTAACTGATAAAATTTATTCTCAGGACTTGGAAAATTTTTAGGAAGTGGTTTTCTGTGGGAAAAACATAACCAACTTCATTACAAATGGGCATGAATATGAAGAAGCTATATGATTTTTGTGAAAGTTGTTTAAATTCTTTTATTTTTTAGTTTCTTGTTTTAAAATAGAGGTTGTGATAAATTATCTTGTTTGTTTCCTGAGAATTAACTAAGTCATTATAGAAAGTTATGAGTAGTTTATGAGTAGTTATGAGTCATTATAGAAAATCATGAGTAGTTTCCTTAGCATATGGGAAGAACCTAAACATATAACACTTATTTTTATTTAATATTTTCCACATGCCAAGCAATATCACTGAATTATTTTGCTTAATCCTCACTACAACCATAAAACTTGGTAGCTATAGTTACTCTCTTATAACAGATGAACAATCTGTTATGAGTTTCTAAGACTTTAGTGATCTCACTGGGTATCATAGAGCTTGGTATTTCTCAGATTTTCTGTGTGTGATGTTCAGTGTATGTTTTACCATTATAGACTGAGTGTTTCTGTAAAATTACTAAAAGGTAACTGCTAGAGAAATTAAAGGATAAACAAAGACTGAAAGTACAGAAATCCACGTTTTATTTTTATCTATAAATATTGTACAGTTACAAAATAACTATATATTTCTAAGGAAGTTTCTTCGGTGATATTTCTCAAGTCCCCTATTTTTCATGGTACAGACCCATGCTGGTTGCAGACTGACACTGGCCTGCAGACCAGGAAGCAAATCATATAGCACTGAATATGCAGCAAACCTAACACTCACTCTTATGCCTACCATCATCTTACTGTAGACTCCTTCAAAATACAGTAGGAATTCTCTTCTATGATCAAAGGGGAAAGAAGATTGAATGACTGTAAAGGGTATAACTTAGTGAAAGAACATGTGCTTAATGCATGCGTGCATGTGTGTGAGTGTGTGTATCTGTGTGTGTAGCATGCTATCAAGTCAAGGTAAGAGGGACACACAGCAGGAAAGCAAGTTGGTCCGTTAACATTTGAGCGGAGTTGCTTGACTGTTTGATACTAATTTGAATTAGACCTAAAGGTTTTTATAGCAATTTGTTCTTCAGCTCTGAAGCACTGAAGCTCTCTTGAAAAAAACTAAATCTTCAGTAAGACAAGACTGAAGATCAGTCTTAACAGTTGACTATTGTAAAACAGTATGTGTCCATAGATTTTATTATAACCACAGATCAGTAAGCAAACAATAGCAGTAGGACCAGTAGGGCCTGAACAATGACCACTTGACATTGGAAATGAAATCCATAACAGGAAAAGCATATGTAGGACAATGAATTAATACAGAAATCAGAAATATATATGAATATGAATATTAATACAGAAATCAGAAATATATATGTATATATTAGGAAATAGCTATCCTCATCTATTCAGTGAATAATTTAGAAATTAAAACATAAAGACTGAATAATTTGAAACAGATATAAAAGGAAGTGGAAAGTGTAAAGAAAATTTTAATCTGATATTTGAGAGAGAAATAACAGAGTCACATTTCTTGAAAGAAAACCGAGGAAGCACTCAGTTTATTCACAAGTATAGAAGGCAAGGAGAAATGGTGATACTAGAAGAGAAAAAAATTACTAAAGCAGAGAACAGAAGTCTAACCCTAATTAATTGTTATTTAAAAATAGAACACAATAAGTGTAAAAAAAAGTAATTTCAAAATCACATATGAAGAAATATTGCTCAAGAAAGAAACTAAAAAATACAATGTCTTTTGAATGTCTACTTGCATTGCATTTAAATAAAAAGAAAGAGAAACAGATGCTGATCATTATACAAATTATTTTCTCTAGTCTGAGTTTTTCTTTATTATGGCATAGGAATTACCTATTCTTTAAAAATAAAAATGATCTAAAGGTAAACCTAGAAAACAATATTTTTTGATCTTACAGATTTTTAATTCCTTATGTTTCTACAGTTACTTGTTTATTGATGTTTATTTGTATTTATCTTAAACAGTTTTGATAAACTGTTAACCAGAGGAAACTACCAATGCTGAGCCGTTGTCCGATAGTTAAATAGGCCAATTTACCAGCAGCATGATAGTGATTTTAATTCTACTTTTTGACATTTGCCATACTTAGTCTAAGTAAATACTTTTGAAATATTCCAAGAACAATACACAGTCATAAGCAAACAGCTCAACACAATTTCACAGTATCCATAAATCTGTGTAAATTCACTTAGGTTAAGTAGATCATAACTAACATCACTGAAGACAGTCTATACTCTTCTGAAGTGACAAGTTCCAGCATTGCACAAGACAACTCCTTTCCAGCGTTCTGACATTGTGAATTATTTAGTCTGTTTTTGAGCCCCGCTTTGCTGGTATAATAGAATTTGTGCTCATTTGTGTGTCACCACTTGTTTTAAACATTATATATGGGAAATTCCTATGTGTTACATTAGTTTAAATTTTAATATATTTCCTAATAGCCAGTTGTGAATTTTACATCTTTACATATGTCTTTTGGAATTTATATATGAATGTTTTCATTTGTAGAATTGCTTTCATTGGGCTTAAAAAGCTTGTTTTAGGTAAATAGAGTGGTTCCTTCGTTCACAAACTTAATTCATTTCACAGTTCTGGAAAAGATGGCCACATCCCTTTTTGTGTAGGAAACAGGTGTGGTCCTGTTTGTTTACAAGCAGAAATGAATTTTTCCAAATGCTTCTGTTTAAAAACCAAATTGTTTGCAAACAGAAGCATTCATGAACTAAGATATAGTGAACCTCTAACTTTTCCAAAATGCTTGTACAAATGTAATATCCACTGGCACAATATAAGAATTCTAGGAGTTTTGTATCTTTATGAACACTTGGTAATTTTTTTAACTTGGTAAGTTTTTTAAAAATTATTTTTTTATTTTTTTAATGGATGTGTTGTGCTATCTCACGATGATTTTAATTAACATTTTTGTGGTGCCCTATAATTATGGCCCCATTAACCCAGCACAAAAATTTTATAGCCACTCCAAATTAAAAGGCTCATGGAAAATTAAAAAGTTCATGGAAACGTAAAGCATTAGTAATAGTGGTAGCTTTATTCATCCCTACTGAATGAACACTTTGTGTATAGTGACTTAAAATTTCCCTTTGCATTAAAAAAACGAAGAGTTGTATTTTCAGAACCTCATTTGAACATTTTTAAGCCTGACAATCTCATTCAATTTAGAAGCAATTTACCTATTTTGCTCAGCTTTTATTTTTTCATTAATGTCTTATACATAGGATCTATTAATATCTGTCTTGTTTTGGTAACCGATCGTTTGACTATAGAATTACAATGGAGTAGTGATGATTGGAGTTGGTTTCAGAGTTGTGATTCCACATTCCATTTCTGTGTTGGAGAAACTGATCATTTATTAGCCATTTGAAGCCAAGGAAGACATGGACAATAAATGTTAGAATGATTCAGAGAGGGCAGCATTATTTTCACAGGGGCCAGGGCTTTCACGTAGACAACTAGGGTGACAGCTGTGTCTTTTTCCTGGGTGTTTCCACTGGTCAGCTTTGTGATGCTTTATTTACTTCTAATGTTATGAGTTTCCAACAAGGGCAAATCTTAGCTGATATGTGGTTAAGAAAATTTGGTTGTCTATAATTTAGTACTAGGTTGTTGTATGGCATGTTTTCAAAGCCATACTATCTGAATATATCTAGATACAAATGATAGGAAATTTCCCTCCTTATCAAAACATAATTTAAAAATTTTATTATATCAAAATAAATATAACATTCATATTTTAATGGTTCTAAATATTTAATTCTAAAGGATTAAATGCATTCTCTTTGTTGTACAAGTATTCCTATCATCTGCTTCTAGAATCTAATTACTACTGCAATAACTTCAGATGCACATGAAAATTATACTCCTTTAAAACTCTTCACCTTCATGTTATTGGTGTCAGACATTGCAACTTTATATATCCATTTTTACAGATATTATAATTTTTTTCTTAAATAACATGGAAAATAAAAAGTGATATACAAGTCCAGATCATAATAATTCTGCTACTTGTATTTGTTCATATACTCACCTTTACTGGAGAACTTTGAATTATCTTGCGATTTTGGCTGACTCGTTTATCTTTTTCTTCAACTTGAAGGAGTCTCCGTAGCATTTCTTTTAGGGAAAACCTGGTTATAACGAACTGTCTCACTTTGTTTGAAAATGTCTGCATTTTGCACTCAGTTTTGGAGACTTATACCAAATGTAGAATTCTAGTAAGATGTTTTTGTTTTGTTTTGTTTTGTTTTTCATTTAGCACGTTGACTATAACATCTTACTGCCTTCTAGCCTAAAAGGTTTCTGCTAAGAAACCTGCAGGTGATGTTAGTGAGCACCCTTGTATCTTCATCTAATGAGCAGTTTTTGTCTGTTTATGTTTTTCTCTTGCTTTGTTTCGAGATAAGTTCCATGCTTTTCATGAATTATTTGTGGTCCTCGACCATTTATAAGAGTAGTTTTACAGTGTTATCTAGTGAGTTTAATGTGTGTGTTTCTCCCTAGTTTTCAGAGGTTTATTATGTTACTTTTAGAGGATTATGTTTCCCTGTCTCTTTGGATGTATTGTTATCTTTTGTTAAAATTCATCATTTCAAGAGACGCCATCATCCTCACTTTTTACAGCCTGGCTCTGTGCAGGAAAGTACAGTTGTTAATTTTCCCGGCATGAAGACTTAATGTCCTTTCCGAAAGTTTCGTAAGCATATATTCAGTCTGGCAATGTCCATGTGCCTTCTCTGGATATAAATGTTAGATATCTTACCAGTCCTCAAAGCTCACAAAAACATGCACTTGTAACTATTTCTTTAGTATGTAGC